AAAAAAAAAAAAAAAAAAACGCTCCTCCCAGAGAATCCCCCATTCCGGAAATTTCCGGAAGACTACTTTTAAACGGGCCAAGACCACTTTTTTCAAGGAACTATGACTTTGGGGAGGTGGTTTCTGAGGTCGTTAGGGGTAAAGTAAGTAATCCAACAGAATGCGATCCTCCGGACTTCCTGGGGTTATGGTGGTTTTACGCTTCTTTTTATGAAATAGTTTATGTACAGTTTAACTAGACATTGCCCTGGAAACCCTAAACCCTAAACNNCCCTAAACCCCCAAACCCTTATCCCTAAACAGGTACTCCCTGGAAGATCTTAACCTTTAGACCCAAGACATTACAACCTAAACCCCGCACCAAGGTTTAGGGTGTTTTCCCCAACTTCTGGGTACCTTTTAAAGGGGTATGTGGGGTACATATAAGGGTGTTATAGGGTTAGCTATAGGTTTAGGGTTTAGAGTTTAGGGCTGGTCCCTGGAACTCAAAACCAACAAAAACCAACACCCTTAGCCCAAAGTCTGGGCTCCCTGCGGGAGTAGGCATTGAGCTCAATGTCCGCATCTGTGGGGCGAAGCCTAGGCTGCGTCATTGACGCCTTGAGGACAGCCTAAATTTTCTCGGGGTTTGGGTAACCGTGGTTCTAGTGAGTGTAGCTTTGGGGAAAGTAGATGAATTCTGAGCATTTGGGCCAGTAGGGTATGAGCGTCGTATAAGCTTCAGACATTACTAAAGGGGAGTCCTAGATCTTGTAGCTCATGCCCTCTACACTCTAGAATTTTCGAAGCTATGAATCTTGAGCCCCAAGCCTCAAACTCCAATCCTGAAGCCTGAACTGTTAACCTCAATTCTTAAACCAGAAGCCCTTCAGCCGTCAACATAGCCCATGCGCCTCCAGAGCATGCCCGCAGAATGCCATGTCCTGGGCATTTGTAGCAGCTGGAGTTTCAGTGGTTGTGGAGGTTTCTAGTTGGAGGGTCAAGGGGACATAGCTCGTAGGTCGGTAACTCCTACGGTATCAGACACACAACGACCCTAATTTTCCCCATCCAAGTCCCCCTGAACACCCTTTGTTTTACAACCCAGGGTTGTGGATTAGGCCATGAGACCGTTTCAAGAAGGACCTTATCTTGTGGGAATTCTTCAAGAGCAGAAGTAACTGAAGAACCCTGGCGCAGGTTGGGGCTGACATGCGAGCTATATTGAGACGATTTTCGTAGCCTCTTTACCCCGGAACAGGACCCTAGAATAAACATATGAGCTATAGTATAAACTTCTAGTATCCCTTGATAACCCCTATAGTAGCCCCCTATATGTTCCCTCATATGTCCCGCTTCGAGGAGTTTAGACTACAGCTACTATGCTAGTAGTAGGGTCCTCACTTTGGGGGTTGGGGAAGCCCAAATCCTCTAAACCCTAAACCCTAAATCCTTTCTAGGTTCCCCAGTAACCCCTCAATAATAAGGGTACCCTTTTTCCTACTAAGGAGACCCCAAAATTTTGAAGTGAAAAAAGGTACTACTAGGGTACCTAGCTTTATTCACGAAAAAAGCCAGTGAGTTGCAAAGCAATGGCTGATACGAGAGGTATACTGGGTTGCTGTTAAGGAACTTAATTTAAGTTACTATACTATGGGCATGTACGCAAGGTTCTGATTTCCTTATTGTAGTACTTCAAAAGAGTTCCTGCAAACTAGCATAGTGCGACGGCTGTAGAAGGGATGGAGGTAACGGCCTGGGGAAAAGGATTCTTATGGAACCTCCATGTTATCTAGGGCTTAAGATTTAGGGGTGGAGGGTTTAGGGGGTTGGGGTTTAGCAGGGTAGTATTACCCTTGAGGAGTGTCACAAAGTAGTTAGTAAGCACAAGTCCTGGCAAGTCCTATGTACCTGTCATTAAAACCGTACATTATATACTCGTCGTGCTCTACCGGACATCTTGGCCCCCCTTAATCTTGGGGTCCTTATACTCCTCTTGCAAAATCCTTACGACGCCCTGCAAGCCCAATTAGGGGCTATACCCGGGAACCGGACAACAGGTGGGGGTCCATGTTAGGGGCCCATGGCTAGCACCGGTTCATGGTTCAGGGTTTTAGGCTTTAGGGGTCTTCACAAGGAATTTGGTTGTTTTGATCCACGGACTGGATTGTCTCAGATTCGAATGCGCGCAATATAGAAGGGACCGAAGAAGGAAGACAGGAAGACCGCCAAAAACATAGGTTCTACGCCCCTAAACCTAAGAACCCACGCTGACCTCTAAAGACTCTATCACCCAACCCTGAGGGTCCGAGTACCTAATAGTTATATACTTACCCAGAACCTGTATTCAAATTACCATTTCCCAAAACCCTTGCAAGTACCTAATCATTGGGTACATGGACCCTCTGAGCAAGTTTGATCCCTTCAACTCACCACCTTCTGCCCCGGACCCTGGTAATTCAGTGGTCCCTGGTAGAGCTCTGAACTCCACAGCTCCGAGAATATCAGCACCCTAAACTCTAGACTCTTGACGCTACAACCCAAACCCCAAACACCAATGCATAACTCCTGAATCCTAGAATCTATGTCTTGAACTCCAACCTCTAATCAGTACTCTCTGAATCCTGCACCCGGCACTGAAAACTCCACCATACTCTGGACTAGAAAAAACCTAAACACTCGCTAAGCACAAGGCGTTCCCGCAGTGAGTTGGTGACGCTCCAGCAGGACAGCGCTGACTCCCTGGCAGCAAGCCATTACGAGTACTTACTGGGGGGGTCAGTAGGGAATACGGGAATGTAGTAATTAGGGCTTGGGGTTAACAGGGAAGAAGGGGAATTTATTAGATAGAGATTAATCATGTAGGGATTATATTCCGTATTCCCAAAGAGCCACAAGTAAGACTAGTGTTCCTTGTAGTAAACCCTAAACCCTAA